GCAAGGCTCAGGTGCAACTGTAACTGGTCTTAGCAGGATCGACTCAGGGAGAGAGGCATTTCTGTTTTGGAAGCTATAGAATTATTGAGCTTCAAATCTTACTCGTTTCGATGTGTGGTCCCTGGGTGGGAAAGGTGAGGTGAAAGGGGCTCTAAGCTCTTTTGCCAAACTTGGTTGCTGTTCACCTGGTAAAAACAAGCTTCTTCTAGGGGACCTATTCTTCCCTGCTTTATTCGGTATTTTTTGCATTCATTGGCAAAGCGTTTCCGTTTTAGAGGTTTAATTAAGATAAAGGCATTAAGAGTTTCCCATCTTCCACAGTTTGATTGGTGGCTCTGATTACAAACTGATTTACCGGCACTATGCGACCCTCTACTTTGTATTTTGTGTGGATTCGTCAGAGAGTGAACTTGGGATCCTGGACCTCATTCAGGTATGTGTGGTCGGCTAATAGTGGCAGGAGGGTTTGCACTGAGTTTTTGAGTGCAGAACTTGCAGAAACATTTGTGTCCTGATTGATACAGATAAAAGGTTGCCAGCTGTCCACCAGGTGGTGCTCTGGGAAAGCTCCTGAGCAAACCTATTGGGTCCATTGGTTTCTGCCCAGCCTTCTTTATGCTTTGAAAATGTTTTCCGCTATCAAATCAAATGTAATGAAAAGATTTATGTTTTCACTTATAATTCTAGCCTGAGTCAAAGAAACTAAGCAATCTTAGGTATAAGTAAACATGGTTTTTCTTAGGCTTTTTGAAAATTAGTAATTGCTTACAGTTTTTCATTACCTTCATAGAACCTGAGAGGTGTAGGGGTCATAACTTGGGAACCATAAATCGAATGCAATTTCATAATATTTCTATTCTAGGCAGACAGTTTGTTTTCTTTTGTTTTTTTAATACTTTTATTGGGGGCTCTTATACCTCATCACAATCCATACATTCATCCATTGTGTCAAGCACATTTGCACATATGCTTCCATCATCATTTTCAAAGCATTCTCTTGCCACTTGAGCCCCTAATATCAGCTCTCCATTTCTTCCCCCTCCATCCCCTGCCCACCCTCACGAACCCTTGATAAGTTATAGATTATTATTTTAATATCTTACATCATCCTCTGTCACCCTTAACACACTTTTTGGTTGTTCATCCCCTTGGGAGGGGGTTCTAGGTTGATCCTTATGATCGATTCCCCCTTTCTCCCACCACTCTAATCCTCCTGGTATCGCTACTCTCATTGTTGGCCCTGAGGGATTTATCGATCCTGGATTCCCTGTGTTTCGGGCTCTTATCTGTAGCGGTGTGCATGCTTTGGTCTAATCCAATTTATAAGGTAGAATTGAGGTCATGATAATGGGGGGAAGGAAGCACCAAAAAACTAGAGCAAAGTTGGGTGTTTCATCGGTGCTATACTGCACCCAGACTGGCTCATCTCTTGCATGTGACTCCCCTGTGAGGGGATGGCCAATTATCTACAGATGGACATTGGGTCTCTACTCCCCCTCATTTACATTAGGTATGATTTGGTT